TCAAATCATGTTCAGGAGAGGAGCTTTTGGGCAGAAAAAACATCTGACACGTTTAAACGCGCCTTTGCACTAGGCGTATTTAGAGCTTGAGTGTTTTTTTTTTATTTAAATGGCCAGAATACGTGAATGAATATGAAAATAGATTAAATAAACAAACAACCAAGCACTTGACACACCTAAATGTGTTTGCAAAAATGTGGTTTAGGTGTGCTTTTAGAAGAGTGTGTTTACAAACAATCCTTACCCCTTCTCAGTTCTAAAGTCTCATGCCTCACAGTTCTTTACCAATTGCTCGTGGTTTCCAGAATCCTTATACATTGTATCCATTTTTCAGAAAGGCAAACAAACCAGCAATCTTGTGATTAAGGAGCTAACCTTTTATAGTTTGATCCAGTTAGCAATCATAGTGCAATAAATATATATATATATATATATATAAAAAATATTTTTACTCTGTGCTCATTTTATGTTTGGAATAAACTTCTTAGTGGACTCAAACATTGTGTGTGGCACTTCAGTTCCAAATGTAAATATTTCTTTCACAGCCCAAGGTGAATGTAGTAGCATTTAGTTTGCAGAAGCTGCCTTCCTATCATTTGGATGCCCCACTAAGACTATCTCAAGGTTTCAGTGCAACCAACTCAACCTATAAAATATATATCAGTATAGCTTTATCCATTATATTTCTCTGGGTTATCACCTTAGTTTAAATACATTTTATATAATAAATATAATATATATAGTATAGTAATAAAAATGTTAGTCTTAGCGAAAATCACATGTTAAAATGATCCAGAATTATAAAGACATTTTTCTGTCCTAGCTTTATTCTGCTTTACATAAACTTTTTGTTAGAGCATACAGTATAACCTGGCCTGTTTAGATAAAATGGATGATTATCCTGGAAGAACTTAGACACTTCTAGCCACCGGATGGGTGAATACTGAACAAGTGCAAATTAGAGGAAAGAATATGCTGAGCAGAGACATGCAGTCAAAATGTTTAACATTCCTGGTTTCCCACAAAAAGCAGGTCAAGAAAGAAAAGAAGGAATGGAAGGATTATAGCACATGCCACACATATTTTTCAATTTAAGAAAAACACATCTAAGAGGCACTGGGATTTCAGTGCTTATTCCAATGGTTCAAATGCAAGGAAGCTCACTGACTCTAGTAAGACAGCTCTTAAGCACACAGTCCTCCTTCCATGGGTACCTGGAAGAAACACAGAATATTAACTTACAATTGGGCACCAAATCAAAAAGTAAAAAAGAGTGGAAAGTGGTTTTAATTGCAACAAAATTCTTCCTTCATCAAGGCTATAAAACAGACATAAATCATAATAAGTAATAGAAATAAAAACAATTGTAATAATAAAAAAAAAAAAACTTATGAATATATAAATACAGAATTTCAAACAAACAAAAAACAATCTGTAGGTAAAAATTACTAAATTATTACATAAAATTGCAACCATAAAATCATAAAAGCTATGTGGGAGTAGGAGAATGAACGCTATTATAAATCAAAACATCACAGCTTTGTTCATAAATAAAATAAATTAACAGGATTTATTTTATTTAATTTATTTGGGTAGGAAACCTTTGTAATAGCTATTATGTATCGCAGCATTAAAGAAATCATACCTGAGATACCAGCACACATTTCAGAGTATTTTTAAACATTTTAAACACATGCAACGTTTGTATTAAACCTAATATAAAACTAAAAGGCAAAACATTTTTTTTTTCATTTGGATAGAATAAGGGATGATAATAACCTCTGGAAGGGTTATTTTTGCATCCCTGTCCCATTGGGCGGATTTCCCTTCACTTCCTGTCCCTTAGCCAAAAGAGGAAATGAGAGAAATCCCTCTAAAGTAAGGAAGTTCCTGGTTGTCAGCAGGCTCATCAGAACTAGGGTCCCATTGGAAAATATCCCCCACTGTTTTGGGGACAAACCAAAATTTGGGATCTTCTTTTACTTTCACTTTTATTGATAATTGTCAACAGTACAAAAAAAGGGTAAATCTCCCTAATGGGGGCACAGACAGCAATACAAAATCTGACAGGTGTTTTAATCCTTCTCCATTCTATCCAAAAAAATTTGCCTTTGCCTTCAGTTATACGTTAAAAAGAATGTCTATATATACAGTAATACACGAATTCAAATAAAATATATAAGCATAGCTTAGAAGAATGGAAAAAGGTCCTGGATCTATATTAATTAATAAGTGATTATAATAAAGTACTTCATGTAAAGCAGAGAACAGTAAAGATAAAGTGGCAAGTGCCAATGAGATTATCCAGTGCACCTGGGTGAAACACATTTTTTTAACACAAGATTGTTTGAAAGACTCTAAGGTTTAATTAAAGCAGTATTAAACCCAAAAGTAAACATTTATTAGATTGCAACTTATCAAATCTTAGATGTGATGGCTGTATTAGTTTAATTTTCTTGTCTTTCTTTCCTCTGTTTCTTCTTTCATCTGGTGACTCAGCCAGCAAGTCTGCTGTTTTTCAAAAGCTCAAGCTCTGCAGCAGAATGTATCAGTTTACATGGATGAGACAATCCATTTACCACATGCAGGGGTGATTAAAGTTACCATCTTTTTTATTCATGCAAAATCTTTATCCCAAAATGAGTGTTAGCTAGAATTTGCCTTCAATTTGTTATTGTATTCAAATCTGTTAACACATTTAACACTCCCATTCCCCTAGACTGACAATGCTGCTGTCTGCTGTGTCCTGTGCTCTGTGCTCATTCCTCCAGAGTGGTATCTTACTAATACCAGAGATTTGCTACTGGACAGATCACCAGGTGAAAATAGAGGAAAAAAAACAAAGAAAAGAAAACTGATGCAGGCACCACATCTAATGATTAGTAAACTGCAGCATAATACATTTTTGGTTTGGGTTTAGAATCTCCTCAATTTATTATTATTGATTTGTTATAATACATTGTTATATTATTGGGATTTATTTGGTGCTTCCCTCATTTGGTCATATTCAATTCACCACCATAAGATGCATATCAATAGTTTACAAATAAACAAAAAAACTCAAATGCACTGCCAACTCTTAATACTAATTTTCAGAGGCTGCTGCATATAACAACTGGGTTCCCACATAAACAAAACCAAATAAATGAAATGGTGATGTGCTGCCAAACTAATCTCAAGAAAAGTGATAATAATGTGAATCAATAATCAACAATAAATATAACAATAAAAAATAAACACCCTACAGCCCTTCAAAACCAATAGAGTGAACACACTTGATTTTAAAAAAAATCACATAAAAATAAAAGTAATAACAAAATAAATACAGGTGAAACTCGAAAAATTAGAATATTGTGCAAAAGTTCATTTATTTCAGTAATGCAACTTAAAAGGTGAAACTAATATGAGATAGACTCATTACATTCAAAGCAAGATAGTTCAAGCTGTGATTTGTCATAATTGTGATGATTATGGCTTACAGCTCATGAAAACCCCAAATCCACAATCTCAGAAATTAGAATATTGTGAAAAGGTGCAATATTCTAGGCTCAAAGTGTCCCACTCTAATCTGCTAATTAAGCCATAACACCTGCAAAGGGTTCCTGAGCCTTTAAATGGTCTCTCAGTCTGGTTCAGTAGGGATCACAATCATGGGAAAGACTACTGACCTGACAGTTGTGCAGAAAACCATCATTGACACCCTCCATAAGGAGGGAAAGCCTCAAAAGGTAATTGCAAATGAAGTTTGATGTTCCCAAAGTGCTGTATCAAAGCACATTAGTAGAAAGTTATGTGGTAGGGCAAAGTGTGGAAGAAAAAGGTGCACAAGCAGCAGGGATGACTGCAGCCTGGAGAGGATTGTCAGGAAAACGCCATTCAAAAGTGTTGGGGACTTTCACAAGGAGTGGACTGAGGCTGGAGTCAGTGCATCAAGAGCCACCACACACAGACAGATCCTGGACATGGGCTTCAAATGTTGTATTCCTCTTGTCAAGCTGCTCCTGAACAACAAACGTCAGAAGCGCTTACCTTGGCTAAAGAAAAACAGACCTGGTCTGTTGCTCAGTGGTCCAAAGTCCTCTTTTCTGATGAGAGCAACTTTTGCATCTCATTTGGAAACCAAGGACCCAGAGTATGGAGGAAGAATGGAGAGGCACACACTGCAAGATACTTGAATTCCAGCGTGACTGTGTTGATTTGGGGAGCCATGTCATCTGCTGGTGTTGGTCCACTGTGCTTCATTAAGTCCGGGGTCAACACAGCCGTCTACCAGGAGATTTTGGAGCGCTTCATGCTTCCTTTTGCAGACGAGCTTTATGGGAATGCTGACTTCATTTTCCAGCAGGACTTTGCACCTGCCCACACTGCCAAAAACTATTTTTCTGTCAGTTATGTTGCCAATCTTTCTTGGTCTACCTGACCTTGGCTTGGTATCAAGAGATCCCCAAACTTTCCACTTCTTATTAGGTGATTTAACAGTACTGATTGGAATATTCAAGGCTTTAGACATCTTTATATGTCCTTGTCAGGGACTGCGGTCTCACCGCAGCGCACAGGTCTGCTCATGCGCAGATTGCCTAGGCGCACTAATGTGCAGGCACTAGGACCTGGGCAGCGGCGGCTGCAATTGCGGCCCGCGCATGCGCACTCGCGCACGCAGGCACGCGCCTGGCACCAATGACGGTGCAGGGCGCAATATTTAACCACTAGCCTACAGGGCACTTATACCCCCTTCCTGCCCAGGCCAATTTCCTGCTTTCAGCGCTGTCACACTTTGAATGACAATTGCGCGGTCATGCAACACTGTACTCATATGAAATTTTTATCCTTTTTTTGAGACAGTTAGAGATTTCTTTTGGTGGTATTTAATCACCTCAGGGATTTTTATTTTTTCTTAAACAAACCAAAAACCACTGAAAATTTTGAAAAAAAATGTTTTTTCTTAGTTTTTGTTATACAATTTTGTAAATAAGTGATTTTTTTCCTAATTTCGCTAATGAGGCTGCAGTGATGGGCACTGAAACGCTGCATTGTTGGAGACTGATAGGTGGCACTGATGAGGAGGCACTGGTAGGTTGCACTGATGGGCATTGACAGGCATCACTGATGGGCACTGAAAGGCAGCACTGATACATGACACTGATACATGACACTGATAGGCGGCACTGATAGGCAGCACTGACTGGCACTGATAGGCAGCACTGACTGGCACTGATAGGCGGCACTGACTGGCACTGATAGGCGGCACTGATAGGCGACACTGATTGGCAGCACTGATTGGCAGCACTGATTGGCAGCACTGATGGGTGACATTGAAAGGCAGCTCAGATGGGCACTGATATGTGGCATTGATGTGCACTGGTATACACTGATATATGGCATTGATGTGGCACTGATGGGCACTGGCACGTGGCACTGATGAGCACTGACAGGTCGCACTTCTGGGGCCACACTGATCATCAGGGCACACTGATCATCACTGCCCTGATGATCAGTGTACATGTCCCCTCCGCGGAAAGCCGATTACCGGCTCTCCTTTCCCTCTCGAGCTGTCGGCGTGACAACTCGAGAGGAGAGAAATGCCGATAACCGGCATTTCCGTGTTTACATGTGATCAGCTGTGATTGGACACAGCTGATCATATGACCAAGCCGACATCTTCAGCTCTTTCCGTGATCCGCTGTGTCCGAGGGACACAGCGCACCAGTGATCGCCGCGCTGCGTGCTCCCTGAGCCACGCATGCGCCGTGAGAATGGTAGGACGTCATAGGACGTCCTATCAGAAAGAGAGAACCACCTTGCGCCCGTCCTTGTACTATAGGGCGGGAGGAAGGTGGTTAAACTGGCCAGGCGGTGATCAGGTCGCTGCAAGGTCTAGTTCCTGTACCTGTGTTTCTGAAGTGTGTTCCTGTTGCCGATCCTGCTTGTCCTGATTTGTGTTGACTTTCTCCTGCTCTGACCCCCGGCTCGTCCCTGACTACTCTTCTGCCTGTGTTATAATCCTATTGGACCTCCCGTTGCTGAACCTTGGCTCGTGACCCGGCTGCTCTCTGTTTACTGCTTGGTACTTACCTGCCTCCACCGTTACCGACCCGGCTAGTCTGACTACGCTCATTTTTGACTGTCATCCATCCATCCCGCTCGGGACCTGGACTTGTCAGCCTCTTCACATCAGGCTCACCCCCGGCACATACCCTCGGGGGAACCCCTCTACCACAGTTGAGTGCACTCAGGGGTCGCGACCTGGTTTCAGTCTTGCACCAAGTCCATCCCACCATCAGGGGCTCTGGTGAAAAGGCAGACTGGGACTTAGACTCCGCGTCCTGGAGAATCCCGTTCTGTGGATCACTAGAGATCCCGCCGGGCGGTGTCTGACAGTACCTTGCGGCCATGACTGAGCCTGGAAGGGGAACTTCCCCTTTGGATGACATGTCGACATTTGGCGACCCTCTCACAGAAGGGGTTAGGGCCCTACAGGAGGGTTATACAGAATTGGGTGACTGCATACAGACTTTGGCCACACCTACCAGGCAGTCTGGAGAACCCTCTGGGGGAACACTAGTTTCAATACCTGCACCGGAACCCCGTGTTCCCACACTGGAATGTTTTAACGGAGATCGAGGTAGATTCAGGAGTTTCCCGTAATTCCTGTCAGCTATACTTCGACCTCCAGCCTCGAACGTTTTCATCAGAAACTGTGAGGGTCGGGTTCATTATTTCCTTATTACAGGATGAACCCCAAAACTGGGCCCACCGACTACTAGAAACCCGAGACCCACAGTTAGAAACGGTAACGTCATTTTTTAAAGCGATGGCGCTTTTGTACGATGACCCACAGCAGGCTGCGGCGGCCGAGATGACCCTACATATACTAAGGCAAGGTCACCGAGCAGTGGAGGACTATGCAGCCAAATTCAGACGTTGGGGTAGTGACACCCAATGGAATGAGGCGGCCCTGCATCACCAGTTTCGCATGGGTTTAGCTAAAACATTGAAGGACGAGCTGGCCCGAGTGGACATACCTGATACTCTTGAGGGCCTGATAACCTTATCCATTCAGATTGACCGCAGGGTGCAGGAGCGCAGGACGGGAAAGGTCCAACCAAGGTCAGAGACCAACCTGGATATCACCTAATGCTGCAGCCCAATCTAAGTCCCCATGGGTCAACCGGAATCAGGAGTTAGCGGATACATTGGCACTCAGGTTATCAGGGAGGATTCGGCCTCCCTTATGCTGAGGGGTGGACTGACCAGTTGGAAACTCGGGCACTGCCCGAGGGCCCGGGGTCAATAGGGGGCCCCATGAGATGCCCCTGGTACCTTTTTCATAGGCTTTTTTGAGTTTGGGTAAGGACACAGGGGCCCCATGAGTTGTCAGTCCGCCCCTGTTTACGCTTGAGGAATGCCAGAGGCGTCAGGTAAACTGTCTTTGCCTCTATTGTGGGGGAGCAGGCCATGTAGTGCGTACCTGTCCAGCCAAGATGGGTAAGTGTTCTGCTGTGTTTTCTACGGTTACTTCTAAGAATGGAAGCAACATCAGTTATTTAGCAGTACCTATTTCACTTCAGCTGCCGGGGAAAACTGTGGTAACCACGGTAATTGTAGACTCTGGAGCATGTAGCTGCTTTATAGATCTGGACTTTGCAGCTCAGCAGCAGGTCCCCTTACAGACAAAAGAGGTGGGTTTAAATATATTTTTAGCTGATGGGTCCCGTATCAGGCCAGGGGTAGTGGACCGTGAAACCCCACCTATTTCCACTACAGTGGCAAACCATCACCAGGAATTCCTCCGCCTGGATGCCATTGCATCCCCTCTGTTCCCGGTTATCCTGGGACTCCCTTGGCTACAAGCCCACGATCCGCAGATTGATTGGAAGGCGGGATCAATTCACTTCCAGTCACCCTATTACCAGCAGCATTGCCTCCCTAGGATGTCCCCCGGCGCCGCAGGCCTTGCTATGTCTGGATGCGGATGCAGGACTGGCCCAAGTCATTCCTTGGGCCTACCATAGCTACTTGGACGTGTTTAGCAAGCGGGGGGGGCAGATGTCCTGCCCCCGCACCGAACATATGACTGCCCGATTGATCTTCTCCCAGGTTCGGAAATACCATTTGGGCGGATATTCCCTTTGTCCGAGAAGGAGTTAGGGGCTCTAAAGGAGTATATAGACGAGAGCCTCTGCAAGGGGTTTATTCTGCACCCTCCACATCACCAGCTGGGGCTAGCATTTTCTTTGTGGAGAAGAAAGACAAATCCCTACGACCCTGTGTAGACTACTGAGACTTGAATAAAGTGACTGTCAAGAATAGTTACCTGCTACCTCTGGTCCCTGAACTTTTTCAAAAAATGAAGTCAGCTTCCGTCTTTACTAAGATGGATTTGAGGGGTGCATACAATCTAGTCCGTATCAGAGAGGGGACGAATGGAAAACAGCATTCCATACCAGGTTCGGACATTTTGAATATTTGGTCATGCCCTTCGGCCTATGTAATGCGCCCGCCACTTTCCAGCACTTCATAAATGACGTGTTCAGGCACTATCTGGACATCTTCGTTGTCGTCTACCTGGACGATATCCTGATCTTTTTGGAGGTCCATAGAGGTCACGTGAGCTGTGTGTTGGAACAGCTCCGCCAACACAGCCTATGTGCCAAGGCAGACAAGTGCTGTTTTGAACAGCATAGTATCTTTTTTTTGGGTCTGACCATCTCCACCACGGGAATAGCCATGGATCCTCAAAAAGTCTCGGCTATCTTAGACTCGCCAGTACCTACTGACAAAAAGGTGGTCCAACGCTTCATTGGCTTCGCAAACTTCTATAGGAAGTTTATCAAGAACTTTTCAGGCCTGGTTTCCCCGATTACCCAGTTGGCCAGACAGGGGGTCCGTTTCCAGTGGACACCGGAGGCGCAGGATGCATTCACGGCTTTAAAGAAGTTGTTCACTGAAGCCCCTATTCTGAGCCATCCTGGCCCATCATTACCCTATATCCTGGAGGTAGATGCATCTGAGAACGCAGTTGGGGCAATTCTGTCACAGAGGAAGGGCATTAAGGAGCTCATGCACCCGGTGGCCTTTTTCTCTAGAAAACTGACTTCTGCAGAAAGGAATTATGATATCGGGGACCGGGAGCTTCTGGTGATCAAGGTAGCACTAGAGGAGTGGAGGTATTTACTAGAGGGGGCAGTACACCCAATGTTAATATTTACAGACCACAAAAATCTAGAATATTTGAGGACAGCAAAGCGCCTAAGACCACGTCAGGCCAAGTGGGCACTCTTCTTTTCGCGATTTGCCTTTCATATCACCTATAGGCCAGGGTCAAAAAATACGAAGCCCGATGCGCTCTCCCGCATGTTCGGGGACCCTGAAGAGACTCCCAAACCTGACACCTTCCTGTCCTCGGGAAATTTTCTGGTCCTACAATCCGAGCTCTGCTCAAAACTGCAGACCGCATCCGTAGGTATGCCAGGTCCACCCGGTGTTCCCTTACTGAATAGGGAGGGGCTTCTTTGGAAAGAGGATCAGATTGTGGTTCCCGAGGAAGCCCGTACTTTGGTACTTGGATACTGCCATGACCACCCGTTAACAGGGGATTTTGGAGTACGCAAGACCCTGGACCTGTTACATTTTGGTGGCCCAATATGGCCAAGGATTGTGAGCCATATGTTAAGACTTGCACCATTTGCCAGAGGAATAAACCTACTAGGAACAAGGCCTGGGGCCTATTACGCCCATTACCAATACCTGACAGACCATGGAGTATGATCTCCATCGATTTTATTGTGGAACTTCCACCCTCTCAGGACCACACAGCGATCTTTGTGATCGTAGACCGCTTGTCCAAGATGGCCCATTTTTTACCTTTAAAAGACACACCTACGGTCCCTGAGACAGCACAGGTTTTTATCAGGGAGGTGGTGAGACTCCATAGGATCCCTAAGGATATCGTGTCAGACAGGGGGGTTCAGTTCACATCTAGATTTTGGAAGGCTCTATGTGAAACGCTTAGGATCAAGCTGTCGTTCTCCTCTGCATATCACCCACAAACCAATGGCCAGACGGAGCGAACGAATCAGACCCTGGAGCAGTACCTCAGGTGCTATATCACCTTCCTCCAAGACGACTGGTTGACCCTCCTTCCACTAGCGGAGTTTGCGTAAAACAACGCGAGTCATTCCGCTACAAAGCAGGCTCCCTTTTTCGCGAATTATGGGTTGCACCCCGTATTTTTACCGGATCTGATTCCGGAAGTCACGTTCCCGGCCACGCAGGACATGTTAAGTTTTTTATCCTCTAATAGCAAGGTGCTGCAAGAGGCGATGGCAAATACCCAGGAGGACAATAAGAGGGCTTTTGATAGGAATAGAAGGGGAGAATTAAGCTTGCACCTGGGGGACCAGGTCTGGTTAGCCACAACAAATCTTAAAATGCCCTGTCCATCAAAGAAACTGGCACCTAAGTTCCTGGGTCTGTTTCGGGTAAAACGTAAAGTGAGGTGACATACGAACTTACGCTCCCCGAATCTTTTAGGATTCATCCGGTCTTCCATGTGTCACTATTGAAGCCGGCGACACCAAACTCCTTTCCGGATCGAGGTCTAAACCTCCAGAGGTGATAAACATCGA